TTCCCCTTTTTCGTAAGAGTCCGAGGGTGGGCTTAAACATACTCATCCGAATGCTCCTCGTTGATCAGTTCGGGGGAGCTGTCTGGTTCTGTTGCGTTGTCGGGATAGAGGGTACTATCAAGTTCCGTGGAGTTATCAGGATTAGTGGGATTGCGAAGCTCTGTGGAGTTGTCCGTAGCCGTAGACATATCGTTCGGATGATCTTCGTGCGGATAAACTTGAAAGAGTGGTAACTTGTGTCGGATACGTGAATCGTGGCAGTATGAAGGAGTAAAATCAAGATGTCCCTCCCGCAATCCCGGTAGCTTTTATAAGTTAGTGGTCCCTATTAACCATAGAATCCGCCGTGATTTACCATGCAACATACCCCAGCAACATGATACGCCGTCCCAAGCTTCTCCCTTTAACAACAATTGTAATTATGTCATACTGTCTCCTGCAGGTACCTGTTGAACGGCTCAGAAGCGGTTTGGAGATAGATGTCCACCAAGTAATTTGTGACGAATGGAGTGTTTCACAATATCGTTTCAAGGCGCCCCTGGATGCAGTCAAGATGTTGGGAAAAAAAATCGTTTAATAGTATAACACCATGAGTATTGTATCAGAGCGAAGGATGACGCAAGCTCACGCCGCAATCTCAGCGGCCACGGATTCCAGAACTTCCTCAAGTTATCGCCGCTCGCCCACCCTTCCTGATGACACGTCCGTCCGCTGTTCCGGTCTCTGCCAACGATCTCATAGCAGCATGCTCGGTTGTCTCCGTTACACATCCTGACACCTCGACCTTTGGCCGAAACCCCTCCGTAACAGATTATGTTGACACATTTCCAATCCAGGCGCTCCATTCTCTCTCAAAATTCCTTTCCGGGACATCGTCATCACCCTCACACAGCATGTTGCTGAATTTTTTTAGCCTCAGGGGCCAGACGAATGCACTTTTATCCAACGACTCTGGTAAGACTGGTATACGATATGGATACGGGTCTATGTTTGTTAAAATATCATGAACACAAGAAATAAAATACAAAAATTCTTCTCGGTACCCCGCCCCCAAACCATGACTCCACTGACAACAGCTACACCACCTCAGCAAACGTATCCGATCTTCACAACGGCTCCTTCCGCTTCTTTGACCTCGCCAGCCTCGCTTTTCGCCGGTTCAATTCCTCCTCATGATTGATAGGTACACCGAATGGTGTTTCATGTTGGATTTCATCGCCGTTATCTCCCATCATGGGGAACTATCAATTCAGAGCGGTTCCGAGAGGTGACAGCGGAATGTCATCGCCAAAAGGTGGGATCCTTACATGCCGTGAAGAGCCGGAGCAGCGGTCGTCGTTGTATTGGGAGTAGCCGTTACTGTTGTGTTTGACGTAACTGGGAAGACACTCAGTTCTGGATGGCCAGCTGGGGAGTGCCACGCGGGTATCACAAACCACCCTCTCCATTCCTTCCCTTACCACTCTATTTATATTACACATCTACGCCTCCTGTTTTCTCCACCTGCCGTCATGATATCTCAAAATCAAGTTCACCATCACCGACGTCGAAATGAATTGATTGATTGATTGATTGTAATCATTTTAGCGCATGCGTCCCTTTGGGATATGGCGCGAGAACTAACATACAAGGCGTCCCCTTTCCGCAGTGCCGTACTGCATCTACTCGAAA